ATGTATGTATATAACTGGCAGTGGAATTTATTGTGACGCAAGGAGGGCGCCACCTAAAATCTTGCCTAGAGCGCCAAATTGGTTAACGATGCTGAAGTCTGAATGCTTATGTGCTCACAATGTGACAATGCCAACATACTGATGATTAGCAGGTGTAACGTAACTACGTTCACTATCTTATTTTACCGTGTTAGCATGCTAACATTTGCTAACTAGCGCTAAACACAAAGTACAACCTTGGCTGATGGGAATATATTTAGATTTGGTATTAGATATTTGGTCAAGTATTACTTTTGAATTAAATTTTGACTTGAGGATGCTACTAAATGAAAAGTCAGGGGATGATACTAGATGCCACTCCATCTAGTAGATGTTGAGACATTTCACAGGATATGTGAGAACTTTGACCTGCTGGTGGCGATAAAGCAATTGTCAAGTGATCACGAAAATCAGTATGATTCATCCTCTGGGAATAATGAATAACTATAGAGAATTTCATGGCAATCCACCCAGTAGTTGTAGAGCTAAGACCAAAGCAGTGATCCAGATTATCATTACTATCCCTATAGAGCTGTACAGCTAGAATAGCTAAAAATAACTCTCAACTCACTCAACGTCGATTGACATAAGGTGACATTATATTGTGTAGAAGGGTAATTTTTCAGGTATAAACATAAAAAAACTATAGGGTTTGGTATTTAAACTGATGGAGTTTGGGGGAGTTACTAATAGTGCTCAGATCCTCATTTAATTTAACCATAGTAACTCAAAGTTACTATGTGAAGAACTTGTTTTATCCATTAAAATGATGACTGTAGTGGCTATTTCTTAAAAAAAAAAAAAAAAAAAAAAAAATGACATCAATTTAAAATATCAACTTACAATCAAAGGCCACTCATGCAGATCAGTTGGGTTGTAATTAAGAAGTCCATTGTCCAGGCAGGATTCAGGTTTTAAGGTTGATTTATTTCACAGTTCAAGAGAAAACATACAAGTAAAAAAAGAACATATCCCTTCCTGGTGCTAACCCTGACACTTACACTAACTTGCTATTTTATCCTTCACCTAACAAGTGCTTGGTCAAGTGGTTAGTGCCCCTTATTGACTACAAAATAATATACAAACAAATGCAAAAATAACAAATAATAATAATACAAATAATGAAATAGCTGCTACAGTGTCTTGTGTAAATAAACGCCTGGTGCCAAGCTGCATAGAGAGATGCTTCAAAGTTGGTTAACATACATAGTTTGTTTGGGTTCTGAAAATATTCTGTACATACTACAAGGCTGTTATAATAACGATTTTACAGTTATTTCTGGCTACAAGTCTACTCTCATCAGTATTTTTGTCTGTTAGATGTGTCACAGAAAATCTCACTTCCTTTTTTTTTACGCTTTAATTGTACACATTTGGGGAAGTACACTTGTTTCCTGTTTTATTTTTTCAGACTATATATATTATAATATATTTTGTATCCGATACAGAGACACAGTGCACAGTTCAGCATACAGAGAGCATTAAACCCAGCTTCTATTAGCTTAGAGATTGAATCTATACATGTGAATCTTTAGTTTATGACGGACAGGAAGTAACTGCAAAACTAAAGTGAAACAACAATGGGCTCACAGCTCACAGCACAACGAACCTATAAAAATACAGTGCAACTGATAACATAACCAATAAAATACAGAAAATATAGGAATCTCTCAAATAAAAACATTAGTCAAAGAAAATGTCCCTGTATAGTCATATAGCCATTAAGAACAAAGAAGCACACAAACACAAACTTAATATTCTTTCACTCTGTTTTGGCCACACTGTTCATGTTACTACTGAGATTGTTGTCTGTCATCTGGCTTGTCTGAGATCCTTGATTTTCTTCCCCACATGGAAAACACAGTTTCCAGATTTTCAGGTACGCCGTCTTGATCTTTTGTATTTTGAACGCATACACAACCGGGTTTACAGCTGAGTTAGCGTGAGAAAGCAGAATGCCGACATAGAAAGCTGTTACTGGTACATAATTTGGCTCACCAAAGTAAGCAATGCAGTTCATTATGTGGAGAGGGAGCCAGGACAGAGCGAACAGAGCCAAGACCAGAGACAGAGATCCTGCCAGCTGTTTCTCCTTCTTTAGGTAGTTCTGACACTTGTTTTGGACACCGCTGCCGGGTTTCTCTCGAAGGTTTCTTCGAATATTGCAGAAAATGTAGCCATACAATACAGTCATCACCAACAGAGGGATGAGGTTACAGAGAAAAAAGTTGAAGTAAACCAGGTATGACATGGGGATCACTGCTATAAACTGACAGACAATTGTAGAGTTGACCGACTTGGACAAGGTTTCCTGGTTGTACCACCCAAGCATGGGAGGAAAACTCAGTGGTACTGCAACAAGCCAACATGCAGCGACTACAAACCAAGAATGTCTCTTTGATACAGTCCTCTTGTAACTGTAGAGAAAAGCAAAAATGATTGATATAATCCACAATTATTTATGTATTTGTATGTTCTCACTACAGTGACACAAATTAATAAATCAAAGTAGTAGCAAAAAGTGAGTACAAATAATACAATCTAATCACTGTAGTGATATAAATCAAGCCTTTCTGCAGTGCAAGCTATATTAATGTTTGGTGTGATAAAATTGATTAACACAAAAAGCTTACAACTATTATTTTTGGCACAATACTGCGTACTGAACGATTCAGGAAGCCTTAGTATGTCTGAAAAATCTTACCTGAGGGGGATATACACCCGGAGGTATCGGTCCACTGCAATAGCCGTGAGAGACAAAACTGAGACTAGGGTCAACAAGATGACCACACAGCTGATGAAGAGGCAGCCATGGAATGAAGTCTCCATTCGTCCATCCACCACCACAGCCAAGGGAATGGCCACACAGCCAACCATAAAGTCAGCCACAGCCAGACAGACAATAAGGCAGAAAGTAGGCTGCTGAATGCTTTTACTGGTCCACAGTGCCAAAATAACCAGCAAATTACCAAGACAGCAGCTAACAGCAATGAACACCTCCAACAATGTGTAGATCACTTCTCCCACACCCATTGTTCTTCTTATCCGACTAATGGGTAATGGTGTGGCGTAGCTGAATGTGAAAACTTTGAGGAAGTCCTCAGCCTTTCAGCAGTTCTTTTAAATATGCATATCTACATGTTTGACAAACCCCTTAACCCCCGTTTCATTGGTTTGTATTATTCACCAAAAGCAAACTATGTGGCCAAAAACAAAGGAAACCACAAAGCCACATCCTTGCTTTATACATTCAAACAGAACCACTTTCTCTGAAAGCACCTCGACTGGTGTTGCTGATGTTGTGTTGCAGATCCGGTGGCAACTTTTGGTACACAATTTCATTTGAAATAACTTTTCTGCTTATTGAGGCTTATTCTTGTTGCGAGTGCAAGCTCTGTCAATGGAGGT